ATATCTATTGCTCTATATTATTCTGGGAGTTCTTTGCTTAATAGACAATGAATGTTGGAGATGAATGTCTGTGAAATTCTCCAACCAACTTTTAGCTTGTAGATTATTTATGAATTTGAACATATGCATAAAGCATAACTAAAAATGCTTTACTCAGATTTGGAAGCTTATTCAGAGGTAGATGAGGTTTTAAAATTTTGATAACTAACATAGAGCTGGGTACAGCCCTACCCAGCTCTATGGAATGGATATAGTCTTGGAAAGTATTATGTTAATGGAATTTCTAAATCGAAACATAAAAGTGTGCAGAAAACATCATTGGGAAGGACTCTACAGTGAGTGATATTAATAAGGAACATTCTTTAGGAATAAAAGTGACCAACCCTAATAGACCACTTGTGAGCTGATACATTTTCTTTGTCTTAGGTTGGAGCTTGACCAACCCCAGTGCAAACTCGATGGAAGAAATTTTTCCCTTTTCTTTATTAGATGTTTTAACATTTTATCAAAGCACAAGCCAAACAAAGAGAAGGGCTGACTTTTAAAAAAAGTTGGTTGGCATAAGAGATCTCTCCCTCCCCTCAAGCTCTTTAGTTATGTACAACTTACTGAACTCTGAAATGTCCCTTATAAAGTGGTCGAAGTCCATTAAAATTCATTGGACAAAACTATTTGGTCTCATATAATTTGATTCAACTGGATTCAAACCAAGAAGGCCTGGCTGAAAGCAAACTCTTAACCAATATTCATGGTTGTGAGCCATGCAAACTGGACCATTCCTTGAACCTTTGCTGCAGGGGAAATCCAAGACTTCTAGTCTTTCTTCTTATTGCTTTCCCTCTTTCCATCCCCCTGTTTGCTGGAATATCACCTGCAACTGTTTTATTTGAAGCAAGGTTTTAAGCTGAAATTGTTCTCAGCGTGAAAAGTTTTTTTCCTTCCCTCAAGAACAGAATTTCATTATTATGTTTCATGATTTATTGAAAATGTCCAGATAGAAAAAAATGTTTTTTTCATTAGAGAGAAGAATGGGGTTGTACCTGAACACACAAGTTGAGTTCTATGCGTTACATTTCAAAATTTCAGTGGGCTAGATAGTCCATGGACCCTAGGTCTCTGATAGATTTATCAACAAATGTTATGTCGCTAATCTGTTAAGGCTATGAATCCTCAGCTACTTTGTATAACATACATACCTAGATATAAATTAGCATTTAAAAAAAAAAAAACAAAAACCTTCCAGTAACCAAATTCACATGATTCGCATGCAGCACTTTGTAAATCCTGAAAGGGTTGTGTGCCCAAAGTTTGCGTGGGTTGCAGAATAAATTACCCACATAAAATGACTAGATTTCCGGCTAATCTCAAGAAGCAATTAGATTAATCATGGGATGAAATATTGTGAATAGTTTCACTGAGTTCTGGAATCTCTTTGGAAAGCTGGACTCTGCAGCCTTTTCTAACACCCCAAGGAACTGGGGTGGGTTGGAAGTGGTGGTTTCCATGACAACAAGAAGCTGCCAACAGCCAGAGGTGGGTGGGGATTTGATGATCCAGCCCCTGACATAAAGGTAGGAAGCTGCTCAGGTATAAATTCTAGATCCTCAGTGTCCATGTTCTTTCTGTTAGTTCCTGGCTTTCTGAGCTAAGCCTCTTCAGGCCACAAGTAACAGAAATGGGGACTGGGGACCACGCATTCTGAGGTAGCTTGGGAACCCGGGGCAGGGAGACGCTCACGTGACCGGAACCAGGCAGTCTCCCAGGGGTCGTTCATTCGCTTTGCCTGACTTCCCTGTACGTCTCTTTTATCTCTCCCTTGCTAACGTATGACAGAGTTGTCTGCATCACAGTGTAGTCTTCGGTCTTTTAATTTTCTTCTTTTTAGTTTAACAGATACTGACTGGGGTTTTTGAATCCAAATTCCTAAAGAGAAAACATTTGATGAGTCCAAAGTTGATCAAGTGTCCAGTCCAGGGCCAATTAGCCTAGGCGTGGAGCAGGGAGGGGGCAGCTCAAATATGGCTGCCAATATCCTCTTCCATTCCTTTTTCATCCCATGGGTAGTCAGTGGGTGGAGGGGGAAGGAAATTCTCCCATAAGAGCAGTGTGAAATGGCAGACCCGGCAAAAGTATCCAATACATTTTGTAACTGGGAGAAATCACCTCAAATCTCAGGCCACAGTTTTTCTCCTTTATAAAAATGAAAACAAGACCACTTAACTTCTCAGGCTTGTTGTAGAATTTACATGTAACAGTTTGAAAATGAGTTGCTAGCTCTACGAGCATTGAAAAATGTGAGACTTTACTCAGTCTAGAACGACATTCATGGACTCAGGAATTATCGAGCACTTACTATACACTGGGAATAGTTTTCAATACCAAAGTTAAGAGTAAAGATAAATTCTGGAAATAGAATGTATTTTCGTAATAAAGAGAACAAGCGTTGGAGTCAGACCTGGGTTAAATCCTCCTTATGCCAGTTATCAGTAGCGTAGCTTTGGGCAAGTTTCTATCTCTGAGCCTTAGTTTTCTCATCCGTAAAGTGAGATATTACTTCCTACGATGGCCTATGTGGCCCTAATTGACCTAGCCTCTGCCTACCTTTCCCAAGTCAACGTCTGTCCTCAAGTGTCTCCATCATGTTGGCCTCCTGGTGGCTCCTCCAACACTCTGACCTTGGGCCTGCCTCAAGGTCTTCACAACTGCGATTTCTTCTCTCTTTCTCCTGATTTCAATAAGGTAGGCTCCTTCTTTTCTTTCAAGTCTCTGCACAGATATCCTCTCCTCAGACATAACCATGCTACCTAAAAACGTCTTCCCCCTACCCCACCCACCATGTTCCCCTCTCTCCAGAGCACTTATCAATCCGTAAAAGTACACATTTATTTGATTTACGATATTTTAGCAGTCTCCCTTACTAAAATATGAGTTCCACGATTGAGGGGCTCTGTACCTCATAGGGCTGCTGAGAGAAAAGGCGATTCAATTAGTCATGGTATGAAAGTACTGAGCACATAGGTGGCACAGAGTGAGTACCTGTGCTGGGTCGAACAGTGTTCCCCCCAAATTCATGTCCGCCCAGAACCTTATTTGCTGACTGCGATCTTATTTGCAAATAAAGTATTTGCAGATGTTAAGATGAAATCATACTGTGTTACAGTCGATCCTAATCCAAAGACTGGTGACCTTATAAGAAGAGGGAGGTTTGGACACTGAGAACTCAGCACAGAAGGAAAACACCATGTGACAACAGAGGAAGGGATTGGAGTGACGGTGCCATGAGCCACGCACTGCCACACACAGCAGTCTTAGAAGCGAGTATTCTTGTTTTATCTCAGGAAGAGACGGAGGCGGCTGGAAGCCAAAGTCAGTGCCTGCTCCTCCAAGGAGATAAAATATACTGTCTGAATATACGATTATCTGGCCTTACGTTTCATGGGCCATGTTTTGCTTTGCTTCTTTCTTAATTGGGAGAAAGGAAAACTGAAGCATCAATTGTGGGAGACGCATCACTCAGGTGTCTTCATGGGAGAACATGTTTCTTTGACACAGAAAAAGAACAGGTCCTGACCTACTGCGACTCCAGCTCTTAAAACTTAAAGCACAGGGGTTTGTCTCAGTGGCTGTAAATGACAGCAGCATTGGGGAGAGGCACCTTCTGCTTCCAGACATCTATCTGTGTGTGATGCAGCTGGATTATAACAGCAGCTCTGTGCTTCTTCCCAAGGTTAAGTGGAGAAAGTTACGTGTAAATAGAGTTTCATTGCTGTCTCAGACACCTTGATCTTAATCTTCAGAAAGTTCTGGGAAGGAGGCATGAGAGAGACCAAATCATCCTGGAAAGCTACATCCCAGAGACTTCCTAGACTAACAGCACAATTGGATCAACAAGGTAGTGTCGGGTGTCTGTTGACGGTCATTCGTGTAACCAAATGCTTAGTAGGCTTCGGACGAGGTACCAGGAAACGCAGCCCTCGCTGCGAACAGAAGACAGAAGGGTTGAATCGCACTTTTGTCGCTGGCTGATCGGCTGGGCCCGATTTGACTTGCCTCTCGGTCCCTGTGAGAAAGCTCGGAGGCCTGTGTGAGGAAGGAGATTCAGGAGGGAGGCGGGAAAACCCTCCTGGGAGAATCTTCCTTTGCGCGAAGGCAGGCGCAGGTGCGGTGAGATGTCCAATCCTCCACTGGTCCTGCAGCATCTTGTTCTCTTCAGGTCTAAAGGCCCCGAAAGATCTCGCTCAGTCTTCGCGTGCCATCGTGTAAACAGAGGCAGAGCGGGAAGGCGCGGGAGTAGGAGGTGGGGCGGGCGTCCTCTTTCTCAACGCAGAAGACCGAGAAGGAATCGCGTTTCCCTCCCACGCGTCCATAAGTGTTCCCGCGTTGCCAAATCACACAGGCAGGGGCGGGGACGCAGAGGGTGACTAGAGGCCCATCTTGAAACGCCAAGGCTCTTGAGCAAGGTCGAGGAAGTTCGGGCCTTGGTGGAGACGTTGCATCACGCAGAGTTTGGAAGGAACTCGGGGATTTTCCTCAGGTGGCTGACTCTGCTCCCCAGAAGTTGTCACTCACAGGCAAGAGTGGAGGGCTGGGTGCGGGAAGCCCGAGCGGAAATCCGATCCCACCCTGGGCTCAAGAGTGAAAGGAAGGTCACTAAGGGGTCCGCCCGCGCACCGCAGGACGCACTCCCGCGAGTCCACGCGTGCTCCGCCGCCCCCATTAGCTGGCACGTATGCTCCAGCCTGGAGGCAGTGCAGACGCGGTCGTTCGCCGAGAGGCGCGGCTTAGGCACCTGTGCTCCTCCGCCCAGCGCTGAGCTGGCGGACGTCAGGGAGCGCCCGAGCCCGCCCGAACCCGCGGGGAGGGACGCGCGGCGGACGCGCCGGGAGCGGGGCGGAGGCGGATACCTGGGCTTCCGCGTGCGGCAGGCGGGCGCTAGGACCCGAGAGGCGCACCTGTTGGCAGACGCCCCGGGCCGTTCCCGCCCTGCGCCCTGAGTGCAGGGCCAGCGAGCGCAAGGGCGGAGGGGACAGTGCGAGCCGAGGGCACAGGCGCGGCGGTGGCGGCAGCCCGGGCGCACCATGGCCGAGCTGCTGTGGAGCCTGCAGGACTCCCAGCTTGTCGCCCGCTTCCAGCGCCGCTGCGGGCTCTTCCCGGCGCCGGATGAAGGCCCCCGCGAGAACGGCGCCGGCCCAGTGGAGGGCGCGGCGCTGGTGCCCGGGGTTGGACATCACTCTGCCACCAGCCGCAAGGGCGCTGAGGGGCCGGCCAATGGGCTGCGGAGAGCCCAGGCCCCGCAGGTAACCGCGGGCCAGGTGCTTGTGCGGGAAGGAGGGGGGAGGGGCAGCCCTGCGGACTAGCTGGTCCAGGCGACTCCGCGACGCGGGGACCGGAGTGCGCCGCACCTGCAGAGCCGAGGGGGCTCCATCCCCAGCAGCAACCCGGCTCCCAGAGCTGTGTGTGTGGAGTGGGGCACGGGGGCTGAGGAGTCCGGTCACCAGGATGCCACCCTCTAACGCTGCCAGGTGGCAACCAGGGCTATTCGGATTTCACATGCACCCCCAAGCTTTAAATGCAGTCTATTTCTACCGTCATAAGGAGTTAAATTTATATTCTTGTATAGCCGTCCAAATGTGTAAGAGTTACGTAATTGAAAAGAGGAGCGGTGATGTCCTTGGCATTTTCACGGGAGGCTTCCCCGGGGAGAAAATCTGAGAACTCCTCCAGCATTCGTGGAGTTTCTGCTCCATCCCCCTTTCCTGATCCGCACGAATGGGGTGTAGCGGGGGTTCAGTGTGCTCTTCACCTTCCTACTTCGCCAGCTCTAAGGACAGAACTTCAGGTTTAATCATTGCTCCTGGGGAGGTTTACAAACCTCGCCCCGCCCCCTCTGTACCGCCAGTGCTGAGCTCCTAACTGCGGTTTGCCTTCCTCCCTCCCTCAGAGCCTTGGGGGGCCCCCCCTGCCTGGTGGGTCTTGTATTAGCTGTCTCCAGTGACTTTTAACAGATGTCAGGAGGGGTGTTCACCAGGCTCCCCTCTAGGCGTTCGAGTGGGGTTATACGAGTGTAGTTATACAACCCACTGCGGCAGTGCGCAAGGACTCCAGGAGCAAGGGACCAGACAGGCTGCAAATGCTAACGTGCCTCATCTGTCTGCCTGGGAGGATGGCTGCGCCTGGGCTGGAGGGCTCTCTCTAGCAGCTAGATGCCCTGGGCACCCACCGAAGCTGCCGTTTTCCTGGGGGAGGTAAAAAGTGTGGCGTGCGAGGACAGAAGGACTGTATTAATAATTCCAACTCTCTTTTTCGGGGAGGGGGGGATTGGGAATGGGTAAAGGAAACCACATTTTTTTTCTTCCTGGAAGCTTTGGAGACAGGAAGATGGCATTTATGTGTCGGTTTCTAGATCTAGTAACTGAGGAATTATGAAGAACCTGGCTTCTATGTGAAATGGAATATTGCGGGCATGGAATTACAGAATTTGAGAGGGTGAGAGGGGTTGTGTGTTGCACTCTAGAGAAATCTTCCTCTGCGATATTTTTTTTTCTCCTTTTATTTTTCCTTCTCTGTCTCATATGACATCCAGTAATTTTTAGATGAGTTTGAGACACCCTTCCCCCACTTCCTTTTTGCCTTGCCTTAAAAAGGGGGCGAAGCAAGGGGATAACCAGTCGCTCCCCTTCCCTGAAATGTGGCAGGGTGTTTTCTGTGCACCTGCTGTTTAGACCCACAGGTAGATGCACTAGCTTTCTGTTGCTCTCCGCTCAAGCTTCTACTCTGTGTTCCTAATTCAGGAAGCTGAAGAAGAGTACCTTTTCCACTAGTGCTTTTCAAACTGTTTTAAGCACTACCCCTGGCAAGGTGGTCTGGAAAAGGACTCTCATACCCTTTAAAAGCATGATAAGCAGATTTCTTGCAGAGAGATGTCTTCTTGCTCCTTGGAGAGCCTGGACCTTGAATGAGCCAAATGGAAGAGATTTCCCCTTCCCATCCCACACACAACTCACTACAGAGCAAGAAACAGAAAGAGAAGCCTAAAAATTCACGATAAGAAATCACTTATTGATGTGCGATGGGGGGAAAAAACCCATCAGAGCATTTGAAATGAGAGGTTAATGAATCTTTTTGACGATGAGTTGGTTTCGAGTGGGAAGATTCATTTGCAAATGTAGGTGGAGTTCCCAAAAGGATGTTTGCATACCTGCCCCAGATAACTGATAAGACTCTAAATGGACAGTTGAGGAAACTTTTCCCCAATAGGTATTTCCCCTGGGTCTCTGGCCTTTGCGCAGCCTGTGGCCTGCCTTAGCTGCCTGTCCTTGCTCTCAAGAATCTATACTCACCCTTTGGTTTCAAAGGTCAGTTCCTCAAGAGAACCTTCACTCCCCTTGCAGTCTCGGCCCTTATTAATAGATACTCTTTCCTTCTTGTGTTTCTTCACTGCGGCATGTATTTACACTGTGTAAACAAACCTTTGTATGGAGATCTGATTATTGCCAGTGTCCTTCAGTGGCTGCTAAGCTCTAAGAATGCAGGAAACTCGTCCGTGTGCTCACGCTTTTCTTCCCATGCCTGGCACATGGGAGCTCAGTGGATTTTGTGAATAAAGGAATGCAGATGGCAATGTAAAAATCAGCCCTTTAAAAGCAAGATAAGCAGATTTCTTGCAGAGAAATGTCATCTTGCTACTTGAAGGGCCTGGGCCTTCAGTGAGCCAAATGGTCCCGGCAAATCCAGTACATGGCTGCACTCACTATAGAGCAGGATAAAATAAGAGAAGGCTAAAATTTAATTCCGGACGAAAAAAAGATTTTTAAAAAATTTAGAAGTAAATATTGAAAATCAGAATTTTCCACATAGCTCAGAAGTAGCACTAGGACATTGATTGAAGACCCTTCAAACGACAGAGAAGTCGTTTTCTTCATTTGAGTGACTGGATACAAACATGCAATGTTCTCAACTCCCACATTTTCTATATTTATTTTAATTCTTAAAACAGGACAAGTGTGGAAATGATTGAATAAGGGCTTTCCTTTATAAATTCTCTTAATACCACACACCGGCCAGCTTAAAGATTAAGTGAATCTTTTACAAATCAGGGCTGGGCTTGGCATGCACAAAGCTGTCACTGAGTAAGTCCGACTGGACCTCGGATAAGTCCCGGCGGTAGTGGATTTCACAGACAGAGGTCTGAGCCCTAAAGGGTTAAATGCTTTGTTGCGTAATTTCCAGATACCCACCCAGTCAGCTCTTTTGAATCCTCAAGTCTAAACTGCTTTCTACTGTGCACCTTCCAGGGGGAAGTTCAGAGGCTTCACTTGATCTGCCTCACTGAGAAGCTGTGAGTGTTGTGGCTTGACTGGGAGCATGGTAGAGATTGGGTAGAAAGAGGAAGTATTGCTTTTGGTTTGCAAGGGTGACCATCAGAGGACATGCTCAGCAGTTGCCAAGAGCAAGAGGTGGGGATCCTAGGACCGAGCTAGAAGGGCAAAGGCCCAATCAGAACTGTGTTTATTTTTCCAGGGCTAAAGCCACCCTTGGATATAATAGTATTTTGACTTCTATCATCTTTGCTTACTCAACATTGTTGCATTAGGTTAGACTTTGCAGTGCTTTTTCCTGTCATTACTTTAGACCAGAGATAATCTTTCCAAATTACACTGTGCTCAAGAAATATTCTTCGATAACTATTTGCTGAGATGTAGTTCTAAAGTTGGGTTGGAGAGGGGAATGAAAGACAGGTTATTTTTAGAAGTCTTCGCTCTTGGAATATTTGAGGGCCTTTCCATCTACAAAACCCCGCTCTTGATTTTATTGGCTTGATAAAGTGCAAAAACCCCCATAGGAATCGGGAGACCTGGATCTGGCTCTGCCTTGGTGTCCTTTTGAATTTTCTCTGGGCCTCAGTTGTCCGATCTGCAAAATGAGCAGAGTGGAATAGAACCATGGGTTTCCAACTCCGGCTGCAAATTACAGTCAGTAAGAAGAGCTTTAAAAACCAAACAAAAGGACAATGTCCAGGATTCAGGTCGGAGGTGGGACTCAGAGAAGCTGGCAGACAGATGCGGGAAGCTCTGAATTCTTTTATCCTGGAATCCACCACCCTAGTGTGTTCTGGACGAAGGTGGTGAGGGCTAGAGGCAGCGGCCATGGCAGCTATGACATCTGGGCTTGATTATAACTAAACAGGCCAAAAGATTGAACTTCAAGTTTTGATTATCTTTAGATGAATATTCAGGTTCAAAATGGCATAGTAAGCCACTTTGAAAAGGTACATTTGATCATTCTTTTCCTAGTTACAGATAATGTTCAGATGAAAAAACCTAAAAAAGTACAAAGAAAACGTTAGATCCGTGCCCATTGGACTGCCATAGATAATCACTCAGTAAATAGTCAGCCTGACGGGTAATGGCTATGTTATCCGTAGCACTGATACCCCCGAAATCGAGTCGGCCTGCTGCTGTGCCTTTAAATTGTTTCCAGTTTTTACATTAAAAATACCATCTTTGATCAAGTGTCTTTCCACATATCGTGACAGTCTTCTTTAATCTGAGATTTAATTGACATATAACATTATATTAGTTTCAGACATACGACATAATGATTTGATATCTGTATATAGAGTGAAATGATCACCGCTGTAAGTCTAGCTAACATCCGTCACCACACAGTTACAATTCTTTTCTTGTGATGAGAACGTTTAAGATCTACTCTCTTAGCAACTTTCTAATCTACAATCCAGTGTTATTAACTATAGTCACCACACTATACATTACATCCCGTGACTTATTCATCTTATAACTGGAAGTTGGTATCTTTTGACCATCTTCACCCATTTTACCCAACCTCCACCCCTACCTCTGGCAGCCACCCATCTATTCTATCTATGAGTTGAGTTTTATTGTTATGTTTATAGTCCACATGTCAATGAGATCATATGGCACTTGTCTTTCTCTGATTTATTTCACTTAGCATAATACCCTCAAGGCCCAACTCCGAGGTTGTTGCAAATGTCAAGATTTCCTTCTTTTTTATGGCTGAATAATATTCCTGTTGTGTGTATGTGTGTGTGTGTGTGTGTGTGTGTGTGTGTGTGTGAGAGACATATTTTCTTTACCTATTCGTCCATCAATGGACACTTAGGTTGCTTCCCTGTCTAGGTTATTGTAAATAACGCTGTAATCAGCGTGGAGCTGCATTTATCTTTTCGAATTAGTGTTTTCCTTTTCTTTGGCTAAATATCCAGAAGTGGAGTGGCTGCATCATATGCAGTTCTATTTTTAATTTTTTGGGGACGTTC